GTTGCGGATTGGCCTACACGCACTCCTCTTAGTGGGTACGAACTCCACACATAAATCAGTTTTTTCGTCTCAATTACTGCAATAGTCTCAATTTTGAGGTATTTTCTCTGTTTCTCTTACAGACTTTGGTGTTGAATTTCCAATCTTTGATTTCATGGAAGACAATGTTTATCTTGCATAAATCAAAATATTATCCATAAATATAATGGACATAAAATCATTTTCAACAATATTTTCAAATTCATAAAGTACCTTGAATTTCATCTTGTAGTGAAATTATATCACTAAGGATGATACAAAAGGTTGATATTAGCTATGTTTCTTAGTTTGATGGTTCTTACTTTAACATTTGGTAACACAAACTATCATTAGTTTTTAAGACAAAAAAATTATGATTAGTGGTAATTAATAGTAAATCCATACCAATTCTAACAACTACAGCTAAAATAGTTGCTAATATCCCATCTTTGTGTACTATAGATATATGCAATATCAATCAATAGGAAGACAAAGATGCATTATCTTTGTTAATTATTAAGAATTGCATTGAAAATAATATTGTCTAATATATACAATCATACAAGATATTAAATGATATATAGAAAAAAAATTAAAAAGTCTATTTAAAATTATAAGATGTAATTACTAAAACACATCTTAAAGACAAATTACATATTCTTAAGATGAAAAAGAATAAAAGAATAACAAAAAATATTCATGTATTTAGATCATACCTTAAATAATTGTTTGTAGGATGGTGTCTAGTTTCAAATGATGAAGCAATTTTGTCTTTGATGAGAAGTTTGCCACCATCTTATAGGTTCTTCATTAGTTTTCTAAAATGCCAACTGAGTATTTCTTTACAAACACTAATAAAAAATTTAATTCAAGAAGAAAAAGCTCTTCTTGAGTTTTTGAGAAAAACAACCAAGATTTTGACAAAAATACTTTTATTATAAAAAACTTAGATATAGAATTTAAGAATGCAAAATCAAACTTGTTGTAGAGAAAATAAAACAATCAAATATAGCCACAAAATGCCATGTTAAATTTGGCATTTGATACTATTTAATAAATCCGGCCACATTATTGCAAAATTTATACTAAACCTTGATCTATATGAATTAAGAGTTACTACAATATGTAATCACAAAATATTGGCTATACTAGCTACTATATAATTGAGCAAAGTTAATTTATGGCATTTATGTCAAAGCCATATAAATAAGCACAAAATGAAACAACTTCAATTAATGTCCATTCGCATGGATACTTTTGATTTACAAGACCTTAATTTTTGCCACCTACATGTTAAAAATAAACAATATAATGTCAAGTTTCTAGAAGGAGTAGTACAAAGGCATATACAACTTTTGGATCTAGTTCATTTCAATATATATAACTCTATACAAGTGGCTAATCATTTTGGATCTACATATTTCATCACTTTTATTGATGATCTTTGAAGATATTTTCATATCTATTTATTAAGCCATAAATCTAAATCATTTAAAAAAATTATATTCTATAATTTTTTTTATATTTCAAACAAATTATAAAATTAAAACCTTGCAATTTGATTATGGAGGTGAATGTAAATCTAATTCATTTAATTACTTTTACATTAAAAAAGACATCAAAAAAGAATTTACAGTAGCCTATTCACTATAATAGAATAATATTTTAAAGAGAAAAAATTGGACCTTGGTTCTAAATAAATATCCATATTGATGGCACCATAGAAAATTATAAAGGAAGGCTAGCTACTAGAAACTTTACTTAAATCCAAAGAGTAAAGTATGTAAAAAACAATTCTTGCTATCAAGTTAAATTCTATCAAAGTTCTCTTAATTCTACTTGCTTAATATAATTTCAAAGTCCATTAGTAATATTGAAATGCCTTTTCTAAATGGCTGTATTTATGAAAAAAATATATGTTAATTTTTAAATGCTTACTTGCACTTACTAATACCAATTTAGTATGTATTATTTTATAATCCTTATATGGCCTAAAGCAATTTTCTTGCATGTTGTAACTTTATTTTGACCAATATTTAATCTCACATAATTATTTCAAACTTAGTGCCAATATTAATATATATATATATATATATATATATAAACAAAAAAGTTGATGTTTGTTTCACTATTCTAATTCTTTATATTGATGATTATATCATCATTAGTAATAAAGTTTTTCTTATTTAAATTATTAAAGATATTTTTTTACTAAAAATTTGAAATGATCAATAATAGTAAAATTTATTATACTATTAGCAATGATATCATTAAAAACCAATTAAAAAGATAAATAATATTACATTAAAAAAAATTAATTTCTAAGTTTAAAGAATATATCATATTAAAGTATAATTCAATAAATACACCTATGCAAATTGATTATGTGAACATGATTTTTCTAGCAACAATGAAGCTTATATCAATTCTTATATTTTTTTTTCACATCATTAGAAGGTTAATGTATATTATAGTTAACTCTTGACTCGATTGTGTATATATTATGAGTAGTTTGGTGTAATATCTAGCATGCCTCAACTTATCACATGTTCAAATATTAAACATATTATGAAATATATCAAAAGCATATTTCTATATGGCATCAAATATCAACAATCATGCAATGAAAATATTTTACAAGGATTTTACATAGACTAGTAATAATATTTTGTATAGATTATTTTACTATTGAAGCTATATGGCTACAAAAATTATTCTATGAATTAAATTTCCACAATATTTTCCTACTCTTATTCTATGAATTAAATTTCCAATTACATACTAAGATTAAGTAAGACATTTTGCTACTTGAGGTTACCATCAACTCTCTATTTCATAAAGCTACATTGTAGCTCTCATGATGTATTATTATTTTTCTTTATGTGGGAGTCAATCTTATAATTTTGACTCTAGTACATCTTAGACTGGGAAACATATGTGTAAGATTAATTATTTATTATCCAAGACAAACCAAAGTACAAATCTGTCTCTATAAACTTTTTTTTATAATATATTATAATATATTTCAACAACCGTATTAAGACACTTATTTAAACAACAATTTTATCAAGCTTCTAAAACATTTGGGTATAAATCTTGTTCATTGGAAAAATTTGATATAAAAGAAATCAATGAAAGATAACATAAAATTGTTCAAATTTAGTAAGGACATCTTCAAAGCATTGTACAAGAATAAGGCCATGTAATACATTTAAGCAAGTGTGGATTCCAATTTGCGCCTTAGCAACAATAGCAAGCTTGGCTACAATAGTCCCATTGCTACTTTAGGTTTTGCTATTGTCATCAAGCTTCCTTTCATTAAAAGCAAGCTCACTTGCAAAAGCAAGATTCATGGAAGCAATGACAAGCTTGCCAATTACTCATGTATGGTGTACAAGTTAAGCTGCTATGACATACCTTTACAATGTGCAAGCTCACGTTGTTGCTTTAGCTCATATCCAACTCCAAAACTATTTTTTTTTGCAATAAAAAAACAAGAGTTAATTAATTGTCAAATGACACAAACCTTGAATTCAATCAAATTGTTACAAGATGCAAATGCCAACAACTTACATGTTGCTCCAACAACAATAAGAGAGTTGTGAAGAAAAATGAAAGAACTAAACCCTTACATCTAGTATACCAATGAAAGTGCAGGTACTTCTACATATGTATATAGTATAATAGTAGAATATTCAGCCGTATAAAGGTGTATACAGTGATCCAAACAGTTGTGTCTAGCCTGTCACTGAAGGTAAGACCTCCATGGATTGATTCAATTATTGTTTAATACATAATTATCCAATTATCCTAATCCTAATGATTCTACATGGTCAAGCTTGCATTTCTTTGCTTCTGCAGATATCATTTTGATGTCACAGAAGAGGCCCTGGGTATGTCGTGGATCGTCTACAATCTTCAACGAGATGTTGCCGCAGGGTTTGCACTCTATATAGAACACTAATATTGTAGCAGGTTGAGCAATCTTCCATTTCGTTGGTTGTGGGTCATCACTGTTACATTAATGTTGCACCCTTTTGGGTGTCAACCTTCAATTATTCCACCTTCCGCTGAGCTCACGATTGAGGCGTGACCTTCGCCCTCTGCAATGCTCAGTATCCGATGGCGTTACTGTTTAGGTTGCCCCAACTGCTGGAGGAGGCAGACGAGCACTCTCCTTTCTCAAAGACACGTTCGAGAAGGTACCGCTGGTAAGAATATTAGTAAATAGATCTGTGCCTCTGAATGTTTGAAGATCCTCCATGTTCCAATGTCTACTCTTTTAATGAAGCTAACAGATGGTGAAGAGCCGGTATGATACTATAAAGTTCTGCGAAGAGCATCTCTTAAATTCTACTTTCTCAGATAGTAATACACTACCATGAAAAATTCTCCTTCTTCCATGGGAGGGTAAGGTCGAGTGGGACATAGATCCATGGAGCTCCTCGAAAATGGTAGCTCAAACAAAAATAAACTGGTTACCTGTGCTCCTGAGTACTACGAAATTTATTACAAGCATTTTTAGTGTCACACTAGCTCGTACAATTGGACTCATTAGACGAAGTTGGAAGCAGCAGCAGATACTCCACTTTACGGGCTGCAACTCTTGAAGGTTTTGATACATTCTACTAGGAATTTTTTTCTGAAAAGTAGAAGCTGGAAAGGTTACCATTTACCAGAATACCAAGTTGCTGCAACAATTCAGTCTCTGAGGGTCTTAAGCGTGGGTGTGGCTCTATAAAGTGTTCACCAAGGTGAGAAGGTGGTTGATAGTGGACACATCTTCGGATTAGAATTAACGCCCAATTGGAAAGCACTTATAAACGGAGAAAGGGCTTATAGAGAAAGTTGCAACCACTGGGAAGTTCTGAATGGAAACGCATTGCAAGATAGCTTACTTTGTTAAGATAATGCAGCAAAGAGATTCACATACAGATGTGCGTTGAGGGATCCCAATTTCCAAGTACCAGACGGCGGAAGCATGATCTCGAAGCTCGGTACCGCAATGTGGTCGGTATTTACATTCTTCTGATGCTCAAGATACATCCATTGTTGGACTTGAAGCTTTAAACAACAATCACCAGAAACTAGGCACTATCGGGTAAGCCACATGGACAAGCTGGACTGCCAACAAACTCTTTCCATGTCAGGATTAAACCGACAAATTCCTATCTATGCTCTTGATTCAACAAACCTATCTTTTCTCTGAAATTCCGAATAAAAGTTTCACTAGCAGATTTAGGCGCAAGCTTCAAGATGCACAATGGCACCGTGAAGATCACCCATAATGTTACATACGCGACAGTGGCCCCTGACAAAGACCTACCAATCGCCGATAGTAAGTAAAGCACCAGCACCACCTTCAGGAACAATTTCTTGTCTGAGCCACTAGCAGCCACCCGGAGCACGCTCTCTAAAGCGCCCACCACATTGGCCACCGTTGCTGCAATACAATTGGCAGTCTCGGGAGATATTTGCCATTCTGCGGCGTCCATGGGGAGGATGGTGAGATTGAATGAACGGAAGATGAGCCCTAGAACCGCAAGCGACCAGCTGATCACGAAGAGCACATCCGAGATTAGGGACACCATGTTCAGGTATCGAAATTCACAGTGATAATAGACAAGAGATCCGCATGCTAGGACCATTAGTGCCATCGCTGGCCTCCTCCACATAACGACATCACAACCTGTGCTCATTCTCAAAGTTCTGAAGAGGACGCCAGAACTAAATTCTAAGCATCCAAAATGTTTAAGCTACCCTTGATATCTCAGCCTTGAAAGCTACACTCAACATGTAATTGGTACCCAGGGGACATGTTTGCAATTTGCACCAGCGTCCAAGCCTCGCAACAGGCATTTCCCCGGTTATGAGAGCGGATTATCTGCTTGGTCGGCTTAGTCCAGGCCGCCAAAAGGATCGCAATTTCAATTTTCAGGCATTTCAAACAAGGAGCGTCTTCGCCATAGTCAAGTTACAACTCCTTCTCCTAAAAGTTCCAACGCAGAGTTACCGCTCCAAGCAGATGAAGATAACCCAATAATAGTGTAGGAATTGCACTCTTGAAGTTTATTTCGCTATCGCAGGCCTTGGTAGCAAGCAAACCCGAGCCTAGATTGAGAATCTTGAGAAGTCTACAAGGCGTCTAAATTGAGCGATCAGATGCATAGAATAACTCTGAACTTGGTGGTGTACAGACGATCACATCCGCTGGTTCGCAGACTGCTCAAACAACAATTTCCTTGCGTGTGATTGACTCGCATTTGGAACACCGTCAATCCGCAGCGTGCAATTTAATCTTCACAAAACACATGATGTAACGATGATCTAAGTGCAAAGAATCCTCGAAGTCCCCCATAATTCGAGATAATCAACTGGAGATTGCTAAATTCAAACTTGTCAACAGCCACTCGTCACTATCATCACGTCAGGAGCTTTTGAAACCCAAAAACCCTTGTCGCACGGAAATCTCACTATGTCCCAGAATACCGAAAATCCGAATGCATGCGGACAAGGGATCTTATTCACAATATACAACTCTCCAGCGTTTCTCTATAACGAAAAAGGGCACCAAGATTCCACGCTGCGTTCGGCAAAATATCTCTTAGAAAGCAAACTCGCTAACAATACCACGTCAATCTTCGAAATCAACATTACAGCCCGCACCCACTTCCAGCGAAGATCGACATACAAAAAAATCAATGCCAATGATGCTTGTTGCAAGGATTTAGCCCCTGAAGCTTCGGTTCAGTCGCGCACCGCTGGCACCAAGAGTCATTCAAAAAGTGGGCGAGTACTTGGAAACGAAGGTGAAAGGAAAATGCTGAAAATCAAGAAGACTTGCTTCCTTAGCATAAGCCGCTCTGTAGCCTACGAGCCGGACTGTTAGGGGTTGTAAGAGGATAACGTAGACCCTCATGACATCTCCAGATGGGCGGGGAAAAAACCGAAAGTACTTTGAGGGAATGTTCTTAACGAATTTGTATGACTCAGAGATCGCTAGACCCACCATCTTCCTCGCTTCCCCTCCCTTCCAAGCAAGTTTTGACATCCATTGGTTTGGGAGCCTTTGGCTATTGTGGAGCAGTTTGTCTTTCTCATCTGGCAATCTCCCCTGTTAGTAGCGGAGCGTGCAATCCAATCTTATCCGAGATTCGTGTGGGATTATGTTTGGCAATAGGAATTCCATGAGAGAGCTGTTAAGATTCCTCAAATCTCGCATGTACGATGATGTGAGACGGATAGCGGATTCAGGGAGCATGACCTCGGGCATCAAATGAGGGAGTAACAAGAGCAAGGCTACCGTCTCAGGGCCCTGGCGTGGAGCATGTTTGTGGTGGTATTGCACTCTTCTCAGAATAGCAAGCCAATCCTATGGATACCTTGAATATGTTAGTGCCACCTCTCTGGCCGAACTTGTGCCTCTCCCCTCGATGTTTGATGAATCTGATTGTGTTCGGGTTGTCAAAAAGGGATCTCACATTCTTCTGCAATGTTGCGAATTCCTATGAAGCGAAGGAGACCTGCATTGGCAGCGATGAGATAAGCATCGCCTCGCGGCTCCTAGGATTACAGCCTCGTGATGCTAGGCTGCAGGGTACAGAGCAGAAGGCGATTCTACCTTCGCAATGGTGGACTGTGCGTCGCATCGAAGGCAAGGTCGTTTCGAAGAAATGAGGACACGTAGTTTGTCTTTCAACTCTAGCAACGCGACTCCCGAAAGGCTACAAGCGCTATCGCTTGCGCACACTCTGTAGGAGGCAGATCATAGGCACGGCCAACTTGGCTGCTAGTATATCCTCAACTTCTCCGTTCAACCATGCTTCGCTACTCCCCATTTCGTCACCAATCCTGCCGGTTTGTGCATCCCATCGACTGAAAGAGCACGAACTCAGCAAAATAATTCTTCTTGCCATACCTCGCGTAAATTGAAAATATCCTTCACTTTTTTCTGCGAGATTGTAGTCCAGAATTCGACGATTTAGACGAGAACCAATTGGTCTCTGAGCCGCATCCGCACCATGTTTGTCAGTGAGTGGCCTTGATGGACTGAGCTCCTATACTGAGCCAGATGTGCGAACTATTCACATTCCTTTTTACATCGATTGGAAAGTTGGGTTTCCCTCTCATCAACATCAGTAATCACATTTTCGAAATGCGTCGTAACTAACCTAAGTTTAACACACAAGAGCCACATGTTCGTTTCACTGTGGTGGAATTGATGAGCGAGGCATAACTCACCCTCGCAATACAGAACACAGCTGATATGCATCTTTCGCGTTGAGTTCGTCTTTGTTGGACGAAACAACACCTGAAACGATAGGTGTATGTTTACTCTTCCCCTTCTGAAGTTGCTCCCAGTAATGAAAACGTAAAGAGATGAAATTCTCATGAACACTAGCAACAACGCGGACTGGGAGCGCAACACTTGTATTCGACCTGATGATCGTGCCTGCGACGAGATCTCCACTTTAAAAACATCATTGATGCACCCAAACTTCTTAGAGTCAATTCTTTTCGATGAACCTAGATGTTGGTTGGATGTATCCACAGGAAATTGATTGGAATAATTCTCAATACTCCCGAGAAAAACGTGATTCAACACGGGGTTCTTGAAGCGTGACGCGATATTGAAGTGCAGATCCTGGCGTGATTGGAGATGCATTGAAGTATCTAACTGGAAATGGAAGTCAGGTAACCAAAAACCCCATAGTTTTGGAAATAAGGTTCAATGACGCTATCTCTTGCTTGTTTGTTGCATCGAAAGAATAAAATTACATTGAATTGTAATTTCTGAAACAATACAGGACTGAAGCTGACTTATGTGGTAAGAAGTGCTCAACCGAGTACCACCCAAACCTAATCTTACATCTTAGATGCAGAAATTAATGGATTCAACACCTTTTCATGTTTCTTAGCCATTTTCGGTACCGTTTTGGGCTTTGGCATCACCACTGGGAGATCGGAAATGGATTTTCCTGCATACACAACATAACAAGAGGTCAACACGCATTGCAGCCCTAGTTGATATACTGACAGAGATGGCATTGACATGAATGAGGCTGAACGAGAGACCAAGGTGGTCGTCGCAAAGATGCCTACTTCAGAAAACACTTTCAGCAAAACCAATTTATGACTTGGATTCCAAATCTAAAATGATGTGTGTTTAAGGAACAATTACCATGTAGACGCCTTACAAAGCGGGTAAACTCTAAATAATTGTCGTGTTCCATGAGCTCTGGGTTCAATCTCAAGTATGTGAATGAAACCACGTTTCGTTCAGAGTCAATCCTAGGCTTGGCATTTTCCAAGATTTTATTGTAGCCTCGCCTGTCATAGCATGCGAGAGCGTTTTCACTGGCTACGGAAACGCCAGCGCCCCAAACGCTTTTGAAAACCTGTATATACATGAACTACCAAGTCAGTAAATCAGATAAACGGAAATGTTAGCTTATTCTGAATAGTCCCTTGATAAACTCAGTAAGCACAACACAGATATTTGAACGATCAGGCAACATACATAAAAAAATTCACCACATAAACGTGCAGTCATGAAACAAGGTATCCAGAAGTAAGGTTCATGCATCTTACCTGCTGGACAAGTCCCTCGGGGTCAGCCATTGCCTCTGGGTGATATTTATTTTGCTCAGATGTAAGAAGCTCAACACAAGTGAAGTTGAATGTTGCCTTGTGTTTAGCAAACATCTGAGCTATGGAACTGTATCCATCCCTGAAGCTTGTGTTGTAATACCCGCAGGTCAATTCTGCAGCATGACTGGCAGTCTGATACCACCAGTGAATTCCTGATATCTGACAAGAAAGGAACGCTGAGGTTATTCTAAAAGTTAAATAACCTTGGATGGTTAATTAATATTGTGAAAGGTGGTTCGACAGAAAGACCGAAGTCTCGAAAAATAGTGCGAGGAATTACAAATGCACGATTTACATGTGAACGAGATAACCTAATGGCTCTGAAAATATATGGGTTCCACAATGATTATGGTTGAAAGAAAAATCAAATCAATTATGTCAGTAAATTAATAATGAGGAGTTACATCTTCAAGCACGTAAGACAAAATTAACTACTAAGCGCTACGAATGCCACTGGAAAACATTGAGAGAGTAGTGAAACACATGATGAACGTATTTGCAAAGATCTCCTACCTTGGCAGCAATTTTAGTACCAGAAAAGACCGTTATGGCGATACTTAGAACACGGTCTCCATGTTCAATTAAGGTTTTTGAGTACCAGCCCAAGAAGAATCGGCCGTAGTAGCTGTCGTAGTCTCCTCCATCCCTGAAAAATTCTGTGTATTGTGGCTTACTATTGTACGAGCCGGTATTGGAGGGAGGTTTTCCCCAACCTTTGTGCCCTTGTGCTTCCGCTACCTCCTTCAATCCTTTTAGAAGGTACTTGTCATAGCACTACACTTGTTGACGAGATTGATAAACATTACATTTACATGGATGGAATTGGAGCATAGGAAGGTAGAATACAGTATCACTCACGGCAAACAAGCACATGTCACATTAGAAAACATGCACAAACCAAGGCATGCATAGGTCCTTAGAGAACTGATTCCAGACACTGAACAACAAGAGAAAATAAGCCAATAACACTACCTGAAATTCACCAATGCCAGGATAAACCCATCCCTGGGTTTCTGGATAAGATGGATACCGAAGTTCACCACAAGGCCCTAAGCCAACTTCAATCTCTACTATTGTTCCATCGTGAAAAAACTCGGTCATTTCTTGTCGGAAGTTTTCCATGAAGTCACGATAAACCTATATAAAATTGTAGATCCCCGAAGGTTTAAAAAAATACTCACTTGTCAAAATTAATCAGAGGAAGCAAATAAGGCGTTTAGGATGGATTACTTTTCATTATAAAGAACCGACTACCTGTTCTTCAAACACTTTCTTGTGGAAATTGGAAACCAAAACCAACAGTACATACCAAGTTGAATCATTTGTATCATGATGAGTGCTGAGTCAGTGCCAAGAAAACACGCACCTCAAGTCCAGTTCGACCTCTCAAAACCGGTTCCTCGTCAACGCCCCAAGTAAGACATTCTGGATTTCGTTTATTTTTGCGATTCGTGAAGAAGATATCAGGATTTTCTTTACCAACCTCCCTTACCCACTGAGGTAGGGGGATGAAAGTATCATCACCGACATTGCCTCCACATTGATGAAATGACATCACCACCTACAGATTTGAACTCCTTTTAGTTACTGGTAAGGTCAAGTGTGTATATTCAATTGCAAAACATCCACAACCAATTGGTTTGATCTTTGCCAAAGTTTAATCAATTATTTTAGCGAGTCAGCAATCATAGCAAGAAGAGAGACGTGAGTGCACCTGAAGCTTCAGCTGTAATTCTCGTACAATTTCGAATAGATTTTTGTAACCGGACCAGTCGTACACTTTCGGACCCTTGGCTTCGACCAAACCCCACCAGCAGTCCACCATAACTCCATCCACACTCGTTTTCTTCAGCATGTTCAAATCGTTTCTCAAGCTTTTTAGGTCGTCAATTTCGTTTCTGCTGTTAATAGCGTCGAGCTGCAAGAACATGATAATGATAACTAGCATCAGGAGGTTAGCGATCGACGGTGATCTTCAACAATTTATCACTGACTAAACAATATTGGCTAAAAGTATTGAAAGCAGCTGCCACATTGTGACTTCACCAAAAACGAACCTCATGAGACTCTCTGTCGTCTAGAAACATGTGAACAGAGTTCCATGACAAGATAGCGGAAGACTCCAAAGAAAATTATCCGCGTACACAATCAAAAATTTGACAGCTGAGAAGTGGCAATCCAACGCCTTTGTTTAATTGTCTTCATCAGTAAAAAAAAAAAAAAAAAAAAAAAAAAAAAAAAAAAGCACCATCTTCTAGAATGGCTGAAGTTATACACCAACTATTACTTACAGGAAGCATGACAAAAATTGGAATGTGTTTCGTCCCCGTATAGTCGCGCTCTAACTCAATCACGTCCTGTTCTTCTGACATCTGAACAAAGCAAATAACGGCTCAGTCATCCATAGTTTACACACCAACGTCATTGCATTTGACAAGAAGAATCACAATAGTTGTATATATCTATATGTACACATAGAGAAAGAGAGATATATACACTATTTGCACGTGAGATGAAAACCTTGCTTATGATACTTTCTGAATCCTTGAATTATCTCGTATCGCTCGTGAATCCAATAGTAGATACAGCGAAATTAGTAATTCTGTTTACATGATACAAGAAAGGCAGAAAACATACTCGGTGCTTCACACAGGGTCGAGTTGAAAGGCACTTGGGTAAGCACATCTTGTTATCGTCTTCTCAATTTTCTCATAGTTCTATTACTCTCTCGGAGAAGTTTCAACTCAAGTACAACTCTTGAAGTGATTATTCAAGCAACGCAGTAGATAAACACATCTTGTGTCCATTCTTTCCCGAAAGACTTTGGGTATCCTTCAGTTCATATCTTTATTTAAAGGATGGTTGTCCTACATGAAGGCTGAGACTAGGTTATATCCCCGGATATCAATACATTCACCTGACCATTTGAAAAGTCTAATACAACATTCTTGAAGGAAGAATTACTCGTAATTTGCAGTTCAGACTTAGTTAGTGAGATTTTGTCATAAGCATGAGCAGATAAGAAAGCCACTGAAGTGTATTATGAACAGATGAGAGAACTGAAAGAACCATAACAGAAGTAGGCAGTAGAAAAACGTCTAAGAATATAGATGCAACAGCCGGTATTATCAAAACTACACCTACAACACGATTGCACATGAGATGAATTTTACATGTTGCGGCATTTTGGTTGGGTTCTCTTTGCTTATCTGTTCTTTCCTTTTCTTTTCTGACAAGATAAGTGCTTTAAACGGCACCTAAACCCAAGCCGAGACATCACGTCAAGTAGGCTACAGAGACAACCATGGAACGATCATCCTCAGGCTCTTAGCTATAGTGGCGATTCTACCAGGTTAAATTGCAGTTCCTCTTCACATACAGTTCCTCTTCAGCAGAGATCCTGACCGTCGTCTTCAGATTAAGGACCAAAAGTGTATGATACTCTTTTAGAAGATTCAACGTTTGAAGTAAGTGCGTTTCCGTCTGCTTCAATTCAAGACTAAAGCAACTGATACCCATAACGGATAATCAGGTTCCGTCAAACCTCTAACAGTTAAGTCCGAAATCCTCTCAAAATGTGCACCTCAACAGCAGATATTTTTCGACCCACATGTGTCTCAGAAAAACTCACAGCAATCAAGGAACCGCGGTTTTGAATCAAACGAAGACTGACGTGCATTGTGAGCGACTGCAGTGCTTATTGTATGCGTTAATTCTCTACCTTAAGGATGGAAAAGAAGGGCAACGTACTAGAAAAGTAGGAAAAAAAAAAAAAAAAAAAAAAAAAAAAAAGCACTAATGCCATCATTAAGCATCCTCACCAACCACAAAAATCAGAGAAATGAGACAAGAACTACTCACGTCATTGCCGTGTACCACACGCAAGCTGCGCTCTTCAACTGCAACCTTGTCCATAACAACAGCAGACGCAATTGCGCCTAAGAACCTCCTTCGATCAGACGGCACATCCCTTCCGCTAACTCGCACTCCTTCAAATCTCCTCCCGGAACAGCCCGGCGCGCTCTCTTCCTCTCCACGATCGCACCGCGTCGCTCCAATCCTACACATCTTCCCTCCATGCTGCGCTACAGCTGCAACATCCCTCACAGCACCTGTGCAACAACTACTCAGACTCTGGCTACCACTCTGCACTCCTCCGCTGGTGCAGAGCAGCGCCACAACGGGTCGCTGCAAGGCCGCCATTGCAATCTCCCTCTCAATTCACCAGCCCCACGAGACCGATCACCCACTTTCACATCAAATTGGGTCGGTTTGAAATTTTTAACCGATCGCGTGGCCATCGATCATGACAAAGCTAGGTACTGCGATACAAAGACAACAAGGCTTTTCTGCCAGATGATATTTCTCACTGAGAATGGTTCAAAGGCGCTTTGGCTTGCCCAGCGTTTCGCTTCAGCACTTGAGAAGGGCGCCACTTGGCCGCCCTGAACTCAACTGGTTGGCCACAAATCTGTACTCTGGGCACCGGCCCCTTCGGACAATCCTGCGTCTTCGACGCCGCTAGTTTTTACGGCAGGGAGGTTCTCACACAGCGAATATCCACCCGAATGTCCACAATAGAAAAAAAGCCGAAGAAAAAAAAAAAACATAAAACAAAAAACACACAACCACCCCATCTTGTGGTATATACACAGCTAGCGGTGAAGCTTTGACACCCATCTCATTCACCAGGACCACAATTTCTTAATCTCCTCCGTGACGCATTCATAATCTTGAAACCATAACCCACGATTTAGAGTTAAGTCGAGAGAAAAAGTGTATCTCGGCTCTACTTTGAAAGCATGAGCGTGAGCTCATGAACTGTGTCGAAGGATCAGGAATTGTGCGGTGTGACTGGTGATGTAAAGAGGCAAGATCATGTGAACCCAGTTGTAGGCAGAGAAAGCAGGCGGCAGAGGCATTGTGAGCCAGTAAAATCACTGCAAATGGGAGTGAGGAAAGGGACACAAGAGGCACACACAAAAGGGAAAACAGATCATAAAACTGATTGGTGCTGGTAGTGTGTCCGGAAAAAGGCAGGTCAAGCGGCGTTTTTACACTGTTTCTCTCCCTCTGTCTCACCCGAAGAATATTACTCGCAGTATTTGCACAATCTTGTGGTGTTGTGCAGTTGCATCGGAGGCTTGGTTTTTTGATGTTTGGCAAGCACCAGAACGCCGATTTCTGCATCAGATATGTATATATGCGTGTGGAAAAGCTAATGGTGTTTCACTAAACTTCTATCGTTTTATGCAATCTGAAACTGTTTTTGGACACAATAACTGGCTGTATCATCAGCGATTCAACAGATTTCTTGCTGCGTAGCATCAAATACATAACAGGGTTGGGAAGGCAATCACAGAGTGCCAAAATAGAAATAGCAACAAATACATAACTTTGTTTGTGGATAAGAGGAAGATTGAGCATGATTCTTATAGAATAGAACATGAGTGTATGAACAGTGGGCTGAAAAGTCAAGTGCTCTGTCCTACATCCGAATCTGCATCCATTGAGAACGTCTACGGCTTTCTGCATCGCCATTTTATCATTGATTTGTGCGAATTTTCTTTTGGAGGTTTAATGTATGGAATTCTCTTCCTCTCGTGCCAACAATTGGTAACCTTTCCTACAAGGATGGGAAAGAAACTCCATGCTCTGAAATTGTTGGCGTGGAGAAGCACTCTGATGGCTGGATAGTGAAAAATGCGCTGACTGATTTAGCGATTCTTGAGAAGTTAAACGGTTGGGATGGTTGAAGTATGTTAGACAAACACAACCTTGAACCCACTTAACCTAACATGCGAGATGAACAGCCGTGGTTGCCTTCACTGTAACTAAATGTTGAATGTGTGTACATTGTTTCACTTTTTCATGCGCTTTCCAGTTGTATTGTACAGATACGAAGGTATTGCTTCCATGGACAAAGCAACTCTCAGATAGGACTAGGGCAGATTATTCACTTAGGCTCTTTGATTAGCATCATGGCATTGATAATTGGTATTGCTGCAACACACTGTTCAGTGAGAGGCTTTCTAGATGCCCAGATGGGCCGCTCTTCTACATTTTACCGGAAAGCGATTTTAAAATGTTCGGTCTTCGAAAAAACACTGATTGCGAGTAGTTACTATCTGGCAGAATTCGAAATCAGCACCAAGGGTTGATGGACATACAATCACACAGCTGTGAGTCTACATTAATTTGTCGTTTGACCAATCTTATAATCATCACAGATACAACTATGAGGATAAAAGTATCACATGACCCAACTGTACTTGAAGTGTGAAAGGATTCTAGAGAAGAATTCGTAACCAACAAGTGATTGAAGTGCAAGTGTATATTCTGCCTCGAAAATGCTTAATTGACATGCAGCAAGATATTATGTTATCCTGCAAGTTTTACACAGGGCATCCACATGATTTTTGTTCCTAAAACCATGCCATCCTGTAGCTAGAGGAAGGGGTAGGAGAACTTGGAAATGTGTACAGTAAATACAAGCATCGAGAGACGAGGATTATCATCTTTTCAGAGACAAGCCCTGCTGGCAGGCCGATGTAAATTGTATTGCAATTGTGGAACTCTTACGAAAAGCTTGGTACTAAGACCAGTTTCCCGCAACTACATGTGTTTCCTATGTGTTGATGCTACAATTTGACAAGACATTCCTATCAAGCACAGATTCTCATTACAAAGGAAAATCCGTGTCGTGTTAAGTACCTTACTAAAAATGACCTAAAAATGGGGAAATCAGTGCATACTACAGTACCTCAATAAGCTTAACCCTTGATCACGGGTCTACATGGTCATTCCAGTCTGTGGTGCCATAGCCATGGCAGACTTCTTCTCTGGCTTGTCACAGACAATAGCCTGAGTGGTTAACACCATACCTGCAACAGATGCAGCGTTCTGGAGAGCACATCGAGTGACCTTAGCAGGGTCAATGACTCCAGCTTCCAGAAGATTCTCGTACTTGTCGGTCATGGCGTTGTAGCCCATGGCCCATTCGCTATCAAAGATCTTCTCCACCACTACTGCACCTTCCACTCCAGCGTTGTGGGCAATCAGATTGGCTGGTGCGCTCAAGGCCTGCGAAAAGCACATGAAGTGAGACGTTACACATTATAAGAGGAGGATTTGCTGGCTGAAGAGATTGCAATTGAAACCTATCTAGCAATATATTCGATTAAGACGAACGTGAAGAAAATAAATACTTCAATAAATTCCTTCAACTCACCCTTTGCACAATGTCCGCTCCGATCTTCTCCTCCGGATCTTCTAGAGTGTCTTTGATAGATGGCACCATCGCGGACAAGTGCACCAATGCAGCGCCTCCACCGGGGACAATACCTTCCTCAATGGCAGCGAAGGTTGCGTTCTTAGCATCCTCGATTCTCAGCTTCCTGTCTTCGAGTTCGGTTTCAGTGGCAGCTCCGACCTTGATGACAGCAACTCCACCGGAAAGCTTGGCAATACGCTCAGAGAGCTTTTCCGTGTCGTATACAGAATCTGTCTCAGCCAACTCCTTCTTGATTTGGGCAATACGAGCCTGGATCTCGTCCTTGCTGGCGGAATCAGCAATCATAGTGGTGCTTGTATTTCTGACAGTGATCTTCCTCGCACTGCCGAGCTGGTCAACCTCAGTGTTTTCAACCTTCATGCCCAAATCAGTTGCAATGAACTCCGCACCTGTTCCAATCGTGAGCGGAATTCCAGACTTGTTAGTGCACTAGTTAATACATAGAAAGACAGGACATGTAAACAGCGTGATTTAACAGACATTCACTTGTCCTCGGATCATATCTAGCCAAAGCTCGTGCCAGCGTAGGAAATTCAAAACTCAGACGTGGAAGCATACCTGTCATGATCGCAATGTCCTGAAGAAGAGCTTTGCGGCGCTCACCAAAGCCAGGGGCCTTGATAGCTGCCACTTGAACGACACCCCTCAACTTGTTCACTACAAGGGTAGCAAGGGCCTCTCCGGTAATATCTTCTGCAACGATAAAGAGGGGGACATTCATTTGGGTGGTCTTCTCCAAAACTGGAATGATTTCCTTGATAGAAGTGAGCTTCTGGTCAGTGACCAAGACCTTAGCATTCGCGAACTCGACCAAGAGTTTCTCTTGGTTGGTTACAAATTGTGGGGAGATGTAGCCCCTGTCAATCTGTAGAGAGAGAAAACAGTTAGCACCTTCACTAGGCGGAGGCAGGGGTGAGACATATATGTGTTGCAACGTTAACAAAAACACACCACGAAATCTCCCCTAAAACGATAGCTACTTATGCATCCATCTATCGCATTGAAGACCTCGCCTGCGATAAGAAACCTACACACGATAATGATGGGATGCATGCAAAAATGAGAGGTACAGCTGGTATTACCTCCATACCCTCCTCCACATCTACGGTGGTCTCGAAGGAAGACGATGACTCAATAGACAGAACACCATCAGGTCCAACCTTATCGATGGCATCGGCAATCATGGTACCAATGAGGTCATCGTTTCCAGCAGAGATTGAAGCCACAGCTGCATTATAATAGCATCCCTCAAGTTCAGTAAAAAGGTTTTTGTGATGTTGGTTCAAAACAAATCAATGAGTAAAAATAATCGATGAGAATAACATACTGCCGTAGAATGAAATTAATGTTGAGGTACCTTTGATGGTTTCGCGGCCCTCTACAGGCACAGCCCTCTTCTGGAGCTCCTCCACAAGGGCGGCAATAGTCTTGTCAATGCCCTTCTTGACAGATATAGGGTTGGCTCCGGAGGTCACATTAAGGAGACCCATCTTAATCAGCTCCCTAGCAAGGACGCAGGCAGTGGTAGTTCCATCTCCGGCTGAATCGTTCGTCCTACTGGCAACCTGCATTCAGGAAACAGGAACAGACCATGTTCATTTGAAGTTAGCTTCCGTAATCTAAGCAACTTCCAAGCCAACGATATAGCCAGAGATTACCACAAAGTGGCTTGTGTGGCTCAATCCACACGCGGCGTTACGGTCAAAGACCCAAACCGCTTATGAGGCATGAATCCCAAAAATCATGGAGGAGTTGAGATGACTTACCTCCCGAATTAGAGCAGCTCCTGCATTCTCCATAGCGTTGGGCAATTCTATGGCCCGTGCGATAGTCACACCATCGTTAATCACCTTGGGCGCACCGAACTCATCCAGGACAACATTGCGACCTGCAAATTTCAATTTCAATCTGATACATCTTCACGTACAATAGACATAAAGTCGATTTAATTCTAAAACTAAAAATACAAGTCACAATGTACGATCGATGCCAGGTCTCGCAATGTCAGTCCAAGCATTGTAAAATGGACGCCACCCGTTAAGTCACATCAACGATATCAGGTCCACCGACATGACTGGTGTAAGACACCGCATGAACTCGGAGGGTCAGATACAGAACCAAATCCTCACTCTCTCAAATTATGGTAGCATACCTCGGGGACCCAGGGTAACCCCTACGGAATCAGCCAGCTTATCAATTCCAGCCTGCATTGCTGCACGAGAGTCCTGACCGAAACAAATATCCTTGGCGTTAGCCCTCACAGCGAGCCTCCCCTTCATGTTCCTTTGGCCATAAACCTGGCTCTTAGACTTCCCAGCGAGATTATTGCGCCCTTTCAAGAACCCACCAACACGAGAAGTCGACTTCAATGACGCGGCCGCGGGGGCCGGCGCCACAGCCACGGAAGAGGCAGCCGTCATCCTGTTCGCCAACATCGCATTGGTAGCCATGGCTCAACCCTCCTGCTCCTAACACGAGAGAACACATACCCCCCACCCAAAAAAAAAAACCTTCAATCTTTCCGCCTGAAACCAAACCCTCAAAATTCCCACCACCTTCACAACCGTCTCAACCACAATGCGCTCAGAAACACCATAAAATAACCAATCCCAGCGTCACACCCCCAGTTTCACAAAACCCACAAAACCCCTCAAAAACCCACAACCCTCTGCATTCCACCTCCAGAAACACAGAAAGCGCCAGGAGTTCGCCAATACCTTTGGAAATTAAAAGAAACCCAGATGAGATTAACACAGAGCGATCTCGAAGACGACAGTAAACACGCTGCAACGACGACGGATAGCAGACTCGAAGATCCAAATATAAGGATTGCGCTTTGTGGTGGAGGCGCAGGAGAAGAGTCGAGAAACCTTAGCCCTTGTGGATTGAATACCGCATCGAGTCCCCACAACCCCCCCCC